TTTTTTTTTTTTTTTTTTAAATCTTTACAGTGCATTCATATACTAGTCCTGCATTTCAAAAGCTGCCCAAGTCTGGCAGGGTTTTTGCACATATTTTTTGCCTTAATGTAAATGCTAGTGTACCATTCACTAGAATTTATTTGTAATAAAAATTGTGTAATTTAATGAATTAAATTCATGGCATCTGAGTGAATTAGAACAATGGGAAAAATATTATTTTTAATTCTTAAATAAAGGCAATATTCAGGAAGTCTTTATTTGGATGCAGGAATATATCTCTCCTTTCCATTTTGCTGTATTTTAGCTGTATATTCATYTATATCGCTCAATATTGGTGACCACAGATTGGAAAGAAATGCTGGTTATTGCCTGTAGTATCATTCAGAGACTAGCAGTGCAGAACTGCAGCAAGGATTTGCATTTTTGCTGGGTATGGATTTAGGATTCTTTGTAAATCTTTGTGCCTTAAGCTTTTCCTCTGAAACCAGAACTCAAAAAGGATGGTAAGCTGGGCTGTTGTCTAATCCCTTGTGCAATGAGCTTGCAGGTATCTCAGYAGCTTCAAAAAAAAATCTCAATTAACGTTGCAGTAGTCATTCTTGATTAAGATCTGCATGTTATACCTTAAGAAACATAAAGTATATGATTACTCACCAGCTTGCACAATCTTTCGGTTTACACTAAATAAAACCCGGATCCTTGTTACAAACCATTGAAAAATAAGTTTTCTGTGATAACATAGTGTGATAGAGGAGAGTTTCAWAGTGCTTTGAAACATTTTTAATATTCTGGGCTCTAAGACAAAATTTTGGGCAGAGCAAACTGAGAAAGCTGGATTTTTTTCCAGGCAAATGAATTTGCCTGAAGGGTGTCATCGGTTCATCATTGAAAATCAATGCACAGTCCAGCTCAGGCTCTCTCTCTGTATATTCTATTTTTAATGTCTCCTAGAGAAACATAATTTCAGAATGGAGGTGACCCTTGGAGATGAGATGAGATCTCACTGGCTTATGCACAGTCATTTCATGGCACATATTTAATGTCTCTTTTTTGTTTTTGTTGCAGAATTGGAATATGGCAACTCATATGAAATAGAATATATGGAGAAAATAGGCTCCTCTGTGCCTGTAAGTTCTCACTTCCATTTCCATTCATTTGCTTTCTCTTGTCATAATGTAGTCCTGATAATGCCATCAGCCTCACTATTCCTTAAATTAATTACAGTGTGCCTGCAGCAGATTTGCAAACCCAGTTCCTTTAAATTGGCATAACTGGAATAAATTGCATGTGCTTGGTTGTCCTAAATCCCATGCAGTTTGCTCCATTTTATTATTTTATTTTTAACCTAGGATCATTGTAGCTTTTTCTGGAGGTTTAGAGCAGTTCTCTGTTCCCAGTGCAGAGTTCAGAGCTGTCTGTGTCAACTGTTGGGGAGAAAAGAGRAAAAAAAAAGAAACTTCTGAGAAAATGATGGGAGAAATGGGAGATAATACAGAATGAATGCAAAATATGGAGTACAGTACTGTKTATTATCAGTGGCTTTTCCTGACTCCTATTTAATTAATGAATTTGATAGTTTTGTTAGATCTCATGCATGTACATCTGCAGTGGAAGCTCAGGAAATTAAGCATGTATGTGAGGCACTCAAATAGAGGAGAATGAAGCTGATYTTAATGAGTATTTTGGTAACACCGAGTCCTGCTTGACAGGATCAGAAATTTGCCTAGCTCCAAGATGGGAGAGAAAGAGTCGTTTGCAAAGAGTGACTTCTTTAGCTTATGATCTTTAACTGTTTATTCCTCAAAGAGATCATCTCAATATCAGCAAAAACTGTGTTGCTGTCCCATACAATTGAGTCCCATACTATTGAGCATAGTTTGTTGAGTCACTTGAGGCAGTAAATTAGCTTTCCTGGAGTACGGTTGCTTTGATTAATGAGTTCTTCCTTTCCTGTTGCCAGCAGGATGACAACACAGCTAAGAAACAATCTTTATACTTGATGTTTGACGCGCAGCAAGAGAGCCCAGTCAAGTCACCTCCCGTCAGACTGTCGGAGTCCACGACGCCGTGCTCGGGGTATGGCACATGCAGCGGTGAGGGGGGTCGGAGAAGTGGGCTGCCCCATAGTGTGTGCACAGGCAGCCCTTCCTTCCACTGCCTCTGCTTTTGCCAAAATTTTAGTTTAAAAATAGATTCCCATCTGTGCTCGCATACGATAGAGAATACAGGGAAGAAAGGAAATAAGAGACACAGAAATTGTGTAATGGGGGGAATAAGGATGCATATCCCTCATGCTCTTATTGAAAGAAAGTCTCACAGTCAACTCTTTCTCTAGACTATTGCTTCCTACCTCATTTTCTTTTTCCTGAGGCCATTTTCGTTTTAGTCTAGAAAYGTAATTGCAGCTCTTTGCTTGGCCTTGGCACGCTATATTCTGTAAGCAATGCATCTAGAGCTTAAGCGCAGGATGTGTGGGTTGTATTTGCTTTCAGAAATTTGTGCTTGTTAAGGACATCTGTTCTCAGTGAAAGTTTTTCCATGGGAGAAATTTAGGTCACAGTGCCARCAGGGTAGAAAGACAAGTGAGAAGCATTTAAGGCATGTGCATATCCTTTCTGATGGAAATGAGTTTATTAAAATGGTTTCTATGTCTCTTTTGAAAKGATATTTCCAAAGTATTTTGAGATATAATGATTTAAAGTCAAGTTGCAATAATTTATATGTATAAACACGTGGAAGTTTTGTAGAAGACTTGCTTAGCTGTTGAAGTGGCCTTGTACTCCACTCTTAAAATATGTATGCAATGTTTCCCCAGGTCAAGTTTTGAAGACCCTGAGACCCAGCAATCCTCTGGGATGAAAATACAGCATCCAGCCTCCCGAGTGCTCGCTGCCAGCCAGGAGGCACACTTACAGTCCCCTGACAAATCAAAGCAGAAAGACCTCGAGCCCATGACTCTAGGAACAGTTTCAGAGAGCATTGAAATAGTGAGTAATTTATGATGAGTGTTTGGGAATCATTTTCCTGTAGAAAATTCTCATATTATGCAAGAGACAGCGCAGTTTGAGCTTGTAAACAGAGTAGAAACTCAGTGTGGTGCTTAGGGATTTTAGAAGCAGCCTGTTGACAGGATCCAAACAAGGGCGACAGTTTGAGGGAGCACTGGTGGAATTCTGTAGAAATTTCACGCAAAGACTTTTTATGCTGTGCTTTAACCCAATATTTTTGTTTTGTATATAAAGCTACTTATTTTGTATTTTTAATATGTATATAAAATAGTTATTTTTATATAAAAGTACAGAACCGGTTTTGTTTTGTTACACATACTGTGAGTTTCCAAGATTTGTGGTAATGAGCAGATGCTCTTTGGCATTTCTTTTATAAACTATTAACTGTATAGATATCAGATATATCAGATGTAAAGTTCACTATTTTGCTGGTCATTAGAACTCAGTCCAGCTTCTGGTTATAAATCACCCTTTTTGGTGGCTTCTCTGCTTCGTTCCGATTCTGTTCACCTTCATTTTGCATATTTATCAGGCTGATGATTATAGTGAGCACAACTTGAGCGCAACTGAATTTACCTCCTATAAAGAGCAGAAGAGTTTGCAGATGCTTCAGGAAGAGTCCTGCTAAGGCTGCGCTCAGGGTGGGTGGTATTCAAGGCTTTGAGATACCTGAACTGAGCAGCACTTATTCTTTGAGCACAACTCGTGGTATCGGTCTGAAAAGGGTCATAAAAATATCAAGAATGGCCTGTGAGCTGTACTTTGAGAACCATTACTTTGAAAGTCTTAATATCATTTATTTCATGTTCCTATCTTGCAAAATTTTCTCAGCTTTTATATTAAGAACAAATGTTCTTTATGTCTCTTACACCTATCAATCAAATGCCTTTGAGAAGGAATCTTTGCTGCACTGTCAAATTACTGAGAATCAAAGATTTGCAGACAGAAATGTCACTTCAGGCCTTAACTGCTTGTGCAATCACCGTAACTTATTCTCTACCCTCCTCGCACTTCAGACATCCCCTGAGGACTCCTTTGTCTCTGCGGACGCTCTGCTCAATAGGATATCTAAGAAAACGGCAATATGTGATCAGCCTGAATATCTAGATCCTGACTTAGCAGAAAAGAACCCCCCCGTATTTGCTCAGAAACTTCAGGTTTGTAGAAGAAACATAAATGTCAATTCTCTTTCTTTCTGTCCTGTCTGAAGGGTGTGAGATGGGAAGGAATGGGGAAAGAGAAGCAAAATAATAATTTGGTTCTTTCTGAAGTAGTTGCAGCCTTTTAGAAACCTGAGGATCACATATATTTCAATTTAATTATTTTCATGTGTGAAGTTAAACATATGGATGTGTATGTTTTGTAAAAGTCTTTATAAAGTCAAATCTTCTAAGCTTGAGCACAGTACACAGTGTAGAGGGTTCTTAGCTGATGGCCTTAGCACTCCAGTATGTGCAGTGATTTCCAGAGATTTAGACCCTAATTCTGCTCTCTGAAGTTAAGGACCTGAGTGAAATGAAAATTAGACCTTGTTTTTTCAGCTGAAGTGTCTAATGTGGAATTTGCATGACATCTTCTAGGAAAGCTTCTGTACATCAGGACATACTTTCTAGAATATTCATATTCAAATTTCTAAATGGCAGGATTGGCATAATGTAGAGAAAATTATCATATAATTTAGAGAAATTTATCATATTATCATATTTAATCATATTTAGAGAAAATTACTATAAATAGACATTTATTTTGCCCAGAGAATTGTTAATTGTTATCCCTATTGAAAACTGTTTGTGTCTCTAGCTACCTCCAAACTAACCCAAATCCAAATTTTGTGCAAGATTTCTCACCATGAAAAGAACATAGGACGCCTTTGTGTCATCCAGGAATTGCCGTCACGATGCTTTATAAGATAACCATCCTTTGGGGGATGTGTTAAATGTTTTCGGTGTGTTGTTAATACGTGTTTTTTCCCGTGGATTGCTTATAACCGAACACTTGACAGGAGGAGTTAGAGTTTGCTGCAATGAGGATAGAAGCCCTGAAGTTAGCCAGGCAGATTGCCCTGTCTTCCTTCCGCTCCCTAGATGCCGAGGTATCTGCTTCGTGCCTGCCGTGTGTGTTTAAGCACAGATTAAGATCCAGAGTGCTGCTTTATTTCTCTTAACAAACAAGGTAACTAAGCCCCTCGGAGCGCAGCTTGAAGCACCTGATGTGTCCGTGCCACCGAAGCGCATGCTGGAAGCAGGAGTGCACCCCAAAAAGCTGTGACCCGCTCATGCTCACAAAAGGCAGGTTAGCAGGCAGGAGGGCAGGCTTGAATCTATTGCAGGAGACAGCCAAAGTCTGGAGTTTGATGGCAAAACTGGTAGGAAACGTATTTGTTAGAAGAGGGTGCGGGTTTTGCCTGGTGGGTTTTTTTGCCTGGTCATTTCAGGTTGAAATCAGCCCTCTTGATGCTCAAAGAAGGGACAAACCGGACTGCCAGCCCACATCAGGCTCCTGCAGCTCTCCAGTGGTTCTGGAAGAGCTCTAGGGCTCTCAGGGAAGATGCCACCCCAACACAAAGTGTCTTCATTAATAACATCTAAACATTTTTTTATTGCTGCTCCTGCTGGTTAGAGCCTCATCTGTTTCAGTGGGACATTTCTAGGGTTTGGGCAGTAGTGATCAGACCAATTTTGCAAAAGTTTCTATTAAATGGTTAAATTTCARTAGTTAACTTGGTTAAATTTTACATTAATTTTTGGAAATTTTAAGTTGGTTTACATTTTATTAATACTTTTCCATTGTGCGATTTACTTCAATGCAAGACAGTTAGAAAAACATGGTGCTCAATATCTGACTAGTATAATTACATTTTTTAATGCACTATTATGTGCTAAACAGTTTAATTTTTCTTTTTCTTAAATATTTTCTCAGTTTGACAGTTTCTTTGATACGTGTGTTCATATCAGCTTAAGGAAATCTCTGTTTCTTTTACCACAATTAATAATTTCCAGCAATGGCTTCCAGCAAATAAAACTCCAGGAGGCTTTTGAAATATGATAACACACAGTTCAGCAGATTGATCTTCATTATAGCTTTTCTTCTGAGGAGAGGTTTGATGATGTCATATCTCTTTTTCATCTCCCTTTTTTGGTTTTTTTTTTTTTTTTTTTTTTTTTTTTTTTGTTTGAGGAATAGATTTTTTTTTTTTAAGTTAGAATACTGAATTCAATCTTTTTTTTTTTATTGGCTAGGCTTTTTACCTTCACTGAGGATGTCTCCATGTATTTTTGTGAATGTACACATACATAGATATCAGCTTGTGTCATAGATATGAACTTGTGTATGAACGTAGTTGTTATATATTGGGAGATACTTTCAMGAAGGCAAGATATGAAAATTTGATGGATCTGATGATGGTTTTTGAAGAGGTAGAAAAATCTATGGAATTTGAGATCACTCCTCACAATTATGCTGGAACTGATGATTTTTGTGTATATTCACAGGCAAATGTAGAAAGGAGAAGGCATATGCCTGCTCTGCATATGTTAGAAGCAAGATTTAAATGACTTGCACATTTAAAAATCAAAATGTCTCTTGTATAAGTACACGTGCAGTGTGATATTTAGCAAGTACTGTTTAGCTTATTCTTGACCTAATTAAATTTACTTGCCTGGTCTTTTAGTGTTGCTAGTGGGGTTTCTTCATGTTGCCTGCAGATGTGGAATTCCTAACATTTGTCTAGTCCTGTGCTTTCCTAGAGAAAGCACTGGATGTAATTCCTAAGATGGTTTCTTCAATCAGGTGTGATGTGACAGCTCAGGATTGCAAATAAAAACCCTGAATTTTTGGATCCTTGCTCTCATAGAATACGTGAGGAGAATGGAAAGCAAGTGAATAATTTATGGCATAGCATCTAACATTTTCTTCATCTGTGTCTGTGCAAAAGAATCTCTCAGTGACATTAATRAACCCTTTTTGTGTGTCTGATGTCGAACTGAGCCTTGATTCAGACGCTGTCTGCTCACTTGCACAGATGGGCAAAATTAGAATGTTAAAACGTGACCTCCGAGATCAACTCGGATTGAAAATTCATAATTTGGAAGGCAATTTTGAGCCTAGCTCAGCAAGCCAGACACTAGTGCTCACGTGCTTGACTGCTCTGTGCTACATACACTGTCTTGTATCCCATTAGGTCACCGAAATTCAAGGCATTTTACCAATTCTCAGATATAAATTTTCTCTTACAAAATTTGTTTGGATTGGAAGGATTTCACGGCCAAACAAGAAGAAAGGAAAATAGCGAATAAGTGCAAGTACAGCACAGTAATCCACCTCTCCAGATCACAGCTAGAGTGGGCCCTGTTTCTCCAGAGATAAGCCTTACCATGCACTTCCCATTAGCTCTGCCCAGCCATAAAATCCTGCTRAAGCAGAGTGGTCATTGAATCCTGTCGATGAATGGAAAGGACTGCACAGACCTGTGCACGGCCAGGTTGCTGGAGACCAACTTCTCCATAACGTGCAAGGGGAAAAGTCTTGATGAAGTATGAAACAAAGCCAGACTAATTCTCCTGTGCAAGGTGTAAAAAATGCTCTTTCGCTTAGCACCTTCCTAGATGATTTAATAATCTCTCTGCTTTAAGTGGTGTTGTTTTATTGGAGTGTTGTTTGCAGGGCAATGTGTCACATAACTTTTGTTTTTCTGTCTTCCTCACTGGACGTGCTGCTTGCCTCATGACATGAGTGAAATTGGGAGCTGCAAATAAAATATGATTTAACTTACTAATTGCATGCTAAGTACCAGAGTACAGTAGCATCACCTTCGACAATTTTATAAAATACTATTTATGATAGAGCCAGAGTGAGATAATCTTTTTGCTCTGGTTCATGTAGCATTTGTAGATATCTTGTAGATATCTTTTTATGTAGTATATGTAGATATCTTGTTTTAGGGGAGCAGAATTCCCTTGAATCCTTGTCCACCTCTAGTTCTAATTTGCTCTCCTCAAATGCTTTTCTTGGGCGTATTTTTAATGAAAYTGCTGTGTCAGTTGCTAACGTTTCTAATATATAACCCTAAAATATTGGGAACAAAGTTCTGCCTTTCTACCTTTATTTTTTTCTGCACAAGGGTTATATGAGTCTCCTGATGCTTTCCTCAGGTCCCAAGAGTATATTTTCTGTTTGTTAAATTCAATTTTTCTCATCAACTTTGTTATTGCTGTTATAATTCAGTAGTGAACAAGCTTCTAGTGCTACTACAAACCCTTGTTACCTAGCCCTCCGCCTAGAAAACATATCAGTAGAACACATATTTAATGGTTCGTTTCCTTGTATTTATAAAAATAAAAACAAATACAGAGAGAGCCTGCCATCCCAGCAGATGTTTCCATCTCTAAAAGTGCTCTGTACTCCCGGATCGGCACCTCGGAGGTGGAAAGCTCCCCAAGTCTTCTCTACCCCCAGCAAGACTTGGACTCYGCACTGCGACTCGCCAGAGCAGAGGTAATTTTCTTCACAATGTGGAAAAGGAAATATGCTCACTTTGTGGTGCAGAAATTCCCTCCATTCTCCTGATTCATTCACATTTGTGATCACTTGCTCTTTTTGGAAGTAGTTTCTATTTGAAGCTATGCCCAGCCTAGAGCTTACCAAAGCAAAAGGTGCTAAACTGTAAGTTTTGTTTATTTAGTGTAAATGAAAATTAAGCATCATGTGAGAGGAATCTGTATTGCTTTTAGCCTCATCGTGTGTACCTTGGCRTTGGTATATAGTTTTATACACACTGTAAGATCCTAAAAATTAGTATTGCACAAAGGTGCACACAATATTAGTCTCATTCTTCACATATGTACAATATATGCTACAGTACTTTAAACTGTGTGATATAGAAAGTATTAAGGAAAAGGGGCCAAAAGAAGTGCATAAGTATGRGATTTTGTGGATACTCAGCTCTACATTTGAATACAAAACAACAGATCTTGCAGATCAAACCATGAGAGCTTATTTGAGAACTGTGTACAGGAGTTCTGGGGTCAACTGAAACAGAATAACCCTCCATTTATAGAGAAACAGAGCGTTTCTTTTAATGTTGTGTTATAGCAAGGGATGAAAGATGAAACAAAAATAGCATTGCATCTACTTTCCCCAGTTACTGCTGAGAAACTTGAGTGTATTTCCWTGTCCAAAATTCTGTACTGTGATCTTAGTCTGAAACAGAGAAATTCTATGCGGATGCTTATATCTACATTTAAAATCCATATCTCTGCTATTAAAAGTGGGTGCTAAATGAGGAATTGTGCACTTGGCTAAACTTCTCATTAATGGCTTGTTTCTTTCTGCTTGTTTTGCTTTTTTTTGCTTTCTTTGTTTCAGATTGTGACCAAGGAAAGAGAAGTAGCTGAGTGGAAAGAGAAATAYGAAGAAAGCAGAAGGGAAGTGATGGAAATGAGGTAAGTCAGTATGTCACTAATCGCCCCGAGAGGCTTGTTTCAGTGATATGTCACTCTTGTACAACTCCATTGGTTAACTGAAAGCTGCTATTTTCTAACTGCAGGCTTTGGATTGGTCCTAAAGTCATGATTTTTTATGCATGATGGGCAAAATTCACTTTAGTTTGGAGTAAACATTCCAAATTTGAATGTTGTTAATCTTATTTTCATCCTCAAAACCCTGAGATGGGGGAAATTAACCTAGGCTACTTACAGGAGCAATTCCCTGCTGCTGCTGCTGTGCTCCTCAGTTGTGGGTTGACACATGCATCATGTTTCTCTCCTACAACTCAGGAGGATGCCTGAAGAGCATGTGCTAATTTAAATTTAAAATTCACTTTCTACAAATAGTTTTGCCAACAGGAAAACAAAACAAAATAAATAAATAAAAACATTTGAAGTCTCAGGTATGAATAGTACAAGTCCTTCCAGGGAATTACTGTAAATTTTCTTTAACGATATTAACACACCTCAAATGATTAAATTGCAATTGAACAGTCACTCTGCATTGTTCACTGTGCCAGGGCATAAAAGACTATAATCCAATTACTAGTAGGAAATTATTTATCACAGAACCAGCACTCTGGCCTCTCAGAATTGACCTTTAAGGAGATTCTATGTTTTCATTAAAAGATAAGTACAGTAACTAAAACAGTTTTGGACACTAAAAATTGTGGTCTCATGCAGATTCTCTGAAGTTTTGTCCTATTATGGTTTTCTTGTTASTCCTTTGTATCACAGAGGTGCCAAAGACATTTTTATCTCTGCCTCTCACAGCAATTAGCTGACAGTGCCCAGCGGTCAGCTACTCTCTCCTTTGATCTGGGCTTTTTTATATATATATATATTTTTATATATATATATATATATATATATATAATATTTTATATAATATATATATATATATATTTTATATATATATATAAAAATAACATAACATTTTTATATATATATATATAACAGTATATATATATACTGTTAAATTTCTTAAGTAGGATTGTGGTTAACCATTATTGCATTTTGCTGATACTTTTGAGAGCTGACCTTTAAATTCTTTCTCTAGTTGTAGCTGTTATTTGAATGTATTTTCTTTCTCTTTGGAAACCTGCCTTTACTCCATGGAATAACTGTGCACAGGATCTTGACTGGTTTGATCCGATTTCCCAGCCCAAGATCTACCTCTCTCAGAGGGGACAAGGAACATATCTTCTAAAATCTCTATTGCTTCCCATTTAGTTTGCTGCAAGTTTCAGCTGTATAAAAAATGTACTTTTGCTCTTATAATGGTAATACTATGAGAACAACATACAGATGAGCGTGGACTGCTCATTAATCTGAATGTGAAAAAGTTGGCAATTATAAGAAGAAACTGTATGCAAATATTTTATGGAGCCTTTAAAATTTTTGTTATTTTCTACCTCCAAACACAAACTCAAAAAAAAAGAAAAAAAAAAGAATTTTCAGGTCATTTTAGAGTGCTTCCTTCAAGAAATAATATCTGCAGTAACCTCTGAGTCTGAATTTTCTTCAGAATCACTTCTGGTCAGACTCCAGCTTCCTCTCCCCAAGATTAAATATTAAAGATTAAAGATTAAATATCACATTTTAAAGCTAAAGCCAGTGAGCTGTGTCAAGTGATGGCCTATATATTCAATTGCTGTATATATACCTGAAATTGCAAGGACAGACACYGTTTTTATTTGGATCCCCATCTGTGATGGGGATCCCCATCTGCCGACCTCTCTCTTGTGCTGTACTTGGGAAAGAAACAGAAACCTGGCATAGCTCTTTCAGATGACTGATGAGGGAAAATGAGAAGGAGCTTCTGCAAACAGTTACACCTAAGGAGCAAAAGAAGGAATTAAGAGATTTGAAATTGGGTAAAAACGCTCAAAGTGCAGCACGCCGTCGAGCGCAGGACTTGCACAGGAAGCAAACGGAGCTGCTCCTTCCTCAGTGAAGGATCCAGCAGCAACACAGAGCTGCTGATGCTCTCCAGGCAGGTGCCTTCCCTTTCCTCACCATATATTGTATGTCTGCATTCACAATAAAATTTGGTTCCAAAAAGTTACTTTGTCCAAGTCAAATTTCCCAGGTAGACATTTCCCATAAATGGTAAATTAATGGCCAACATTACCACCAAATAAAATATATATGTCCACCGAGAAAGATTGCTCTTGGAAGATTAAGTGTTGGAATCGAACATATATGGTGAATTAGAGCTGCAGCAGTTAGAAGTGATGCAGTTATAAGGAAGGAGTTGGGGGGTCATCTTGTGTTGTGCGTGTAAAAACATCGCTTTCCACGGAAGAGGAAGCAATGCTTCTTAATTTAATGAATGCTTAAAATATCAGGTCAAGCCTAGGTGGCATGTCAAGCTAAGATTAAGATGGGTCATCGAAAAAAGAATGAGAGTGTTTTATATTTAGGCTGTTTGAGCGAYAGAGGCTTTTGACTCTATGACTCTAGAAAAAAAAACAAACCCACTTATCAATGCTGTTATTGATTACTTTGCTACCATGCTTCCCAAACTGAGAATCATTGCAATTAATGGGATGTCATACCCATCAAGCCTATAGAACAGCTCCCGCACTATTCATATGGCTAGAGAATGCAAAGAATGTGATGGGGATTGAACAATGCTAGTTTGGCAAAAATAATTGATAGTAATATGTCTTTTTCCTGCCAACTTCTATGGCGTGGCCTAGACTGCAGAGTTTGTTGATATTAGAACATGGTGTTCAATGTCATGTTCATTGCTAACAGTCCTTGGATTCCTTCTCTAAAGTGAGAAAACTTTATAAAGGATGTATTATAAGGATGTAATATGGCATATAAATTATTGTTGCTTACCACAGGCTCTCTTTTTCTTTTGAGGCAATTTTTGTGGGACATGAAAATGATCTTTCAGTGGAAAATACTTGCAGTTATCCCATTATCTTTGCTTTCAAAAATGCCTTTTATATTTTCTTCTTAAGAAACAAAACAAAATGATTAAAAGAAGACTGAGTGCATAGGAAGCAGCACACCCAGGCACTGCAGATGCAGAGGAGCTGCACGATTTGTGTAGATCTCTGCCCTGCTTTCCAAGAGGCAGCAGAGCATGTGACCACGTTGTCCTTTTATCTTCAGCCCCAATCCCACCGGTTGTTATTTTTACCTGGAGCCTGATTGAGGTCAGCAGGATGCAYGGATGTAAACACTGCTCTGCAGAGTGCTCAGGAGGAGCAGGAGGGCAAGCGAGGCCCCGCTGCCCGCCCGGGAGCAAGGTGGTGGCTCTGATCCACATGCAGATCCCGCTTGGGAAGCGTCCGCGTTTGCTGCAGTTGTTTTKGGGAGCTCCTCAGCTCCCCCTATTCATTACCAACTTTTCTTTCAGCATTTTTGCACATCTTTTCTGTAACCTTAGTGATTGCAGCAGACTTAAGTATGGAAAAAGCAAGCTAAGTGTTCCAAGAAAAAAAAAAAAGTTAAATCATGTTAAAATACTACTGGGTTATTTCAAATATCTACTTTAGATGAAGTGTGTGGTGATTTTGCTTTTTGTGGACTGTCCTATGTGACTCACAAATCAAAGCACATATCAAGCTAGTCTCATTTCATTAGCTTTATTTGGCTCTGGAAAAGGATGGATCATCTTTCTAAATCACTTTTAATCTGCTTATTTTGGCAACCTCTTTTCAAGAAGGAAATTCAAAGCCTAATATGAGTATGTGAGATAAAATAGGCTTAAAATTAACATTTTTCAGCCTCTGTTTCAATACAGATTTGCAAAAATAGGACATGATGGACATTGTACTACATAACTGGCTGTTTTGGTCTTGTTTTCTTAAGTTCTAATGGATCATTTCCCATTTGGAGACTAGAGGATCAGGTAGATATTTTTTGGATGAGAGCCACCTATCTTTCTATTAGATTTGGCTTTTGCTAGTGTTTAGAACTTTTCTTTAGGTTTATACCCAAAATAAGCAAGCATAAACCAATAGAAGAATAAAAAGGGGTGGGAAGAAAGTAATGGAAAAGTCGGGGTCTATAAAAACTCTTAAATTAGTTCAATGATAATGTTTCAAATAAAAGAATTTGTTCCAAATCATTCCCTCTTTCCTCGCCCTGACTATGTATTAATTCAGAGATTTAAAAATTGAAATCACGTTTTAAACTGTCTGTTTTATTTGTTATTGCAAATTATAAAAAGCACATGGTAATATGAAGTGGATCTGTATCCCTTTTATAATGACACCGTTCAATTATTAAGCAGCATTATTTTTAAGTAAGCCTTAGCAGTTACGATGTTTGCCTAAAACTTTTCTTTTTCTCTTTTTTCCTTTTCCTCTGTAGGAAAATAGTTTCGGAATATGAGAAGACGATTGCTCAGATGATAGGTAGGTGTTTCTGCTGTGAAAGATGCTATTCTGCACTCCAGGTTTTCTGAAGGGGACATGGAAACGATTCAAGTGTGTGAGCTTCATTTTGATGGTGGTTCACTCTTGCTGGGAATTGGGAATACATCTTGGGGACATGGTGTGTGCTGCTGGGTTACCATGAAAAGCTGCCCTTGCCCTGACAGAGGGGAGACCCTGGGGTGGGCAAGGTAATACAGGAAAATTAAATCTCTTTCTTTTGCAGCAAAGAAAAAAAAAACCTGCCCCATATRGGCAGCTCAAATGCTCTGCTCCAAAGTCGTAGGTGTATCAGAGAGAAATTTAAATGACCTAAAAACCTGTTAGTCAWCTGCTTCCGACTATGCTTTTCTTGAGGATACCAAACATAGCTCCCTGTATCAACAGGGATTATCTGTGCTAAGTACGTTGGYCCGGCCAAAACCTAGATTAACTCCAATCCTAGCTGAGTGATTGCGGGCGGCCGATCCACATCCCCAGTTATTTACTGACTTTAAGATCTAAATTACAGATTTTTTTTGCCTCAAGGTAATTAAAAAAAAAATCCCTTTGTTAACAGAATTCCTCACGAATGAAACAGGAGACTTGCAGTGTTTTCCAAAAGCAAAGGTTGCAGCACTCTTGGGCTTTCTTGGTGTTGAAGGCCTGGCCCTGGGATGCTATTTTAAAGCCTCCTGAGAAGYAGCTCCTTCAGAAGCTCCTTCCCTTCGTCTTGCTACAGGGAGCCCCCATTGCCTTGTGCTTTGCCCCCATTGCCAAACTGCTTGAGCTGCTGTGACCACGGGGGGACCAGGGGCTGACCAGATCCTTATGGCCAAATGAGGGAGGAGCGCAGGGAAAGAACCACTAACATCATTGGGACCATCCAGACAAGCAGCACAGAAGAACAGTGAAATGGTGTTAAAGGCCGCTAGGAATAAACTGCTTTCTAGTAAATTCTGGGATGCAAGAGGCAGGAATAGCTAATAATGTCCTCTGCTCACATACAGGCAATATTGCATGACCCAGAAAGTTTTCATTATTTTTAAAGATTTTTTTTTCCTTTTAGCACTTGTGTTTGCAAACACAAACACATCTTAGAACAACTTAGAACAACTTACTTATCTTTGCAAGAGAGCAAGGGGAAGTTATTCAGCACTCCAGGGCTTTTGCTGCCCTTCCATATTTCCCTGAAAGATGTCCCAGCCTCCTTTCAYGTAAAGGAAAAAAGAACTCAGAAATAGGCATTTACCTTTTGGCTTTATTTGCTACAGTGCTGTGTCTCTGTTAACATTTTCTGTGTAAAACTGAGCTAGTCTGGCTACTTTCGGACATGATCTGATGAGTCTCTTCATGCAGGTGTTAAAACAGGAGTGATCATAGTGTGCAAATAACTCATTTTTGCCCTTTGCACAGCATGTTCCCTGGTACAGCTTTGTGCACTATCATGGAAGTTATTAAATGTGGCAAAAGCCCAAGCTGTCCAAGTAATTCTCTTGCACTAGAGAATTGTTTCCTGTTTGACAAGTTGTTTTTTGTTTTTGTTTTGTCATCAGGTGATTATTTCAGTAATTCAGAGTTTCATTTCAGAGTTTTCAGTATGTAGAAAAACAGAGTCCCATATCTGCCCTGCATTTAGCTTTCCAGGGACAAATTAGGGAGTTTTTCAGCTTCATTTAGCCATTCRTATGGACAAGTACAGTTTTCTCCCAAACATAGATAGATATTTATAGAGAGAAGTTCATTTTCCATTAGAAATTCTCTTATTGAGAAACACCTTTAAAAATACACATGGTGGCCACGTAATGCAACAAGAAGGTATGGAATAGGGGTCCTAAGGCACAGTACCATCATGCATACATAGTTCTTAAGTATAGTATCTATAGGTAGTGCAATTTGTATCTGTTTTGAAAGCAATTGGAACAACAACACTCCCACAGAATGTGTTTGTGTGTTAAAGAAGCCCAAAAATTCTCCTGCACCGTAATATGCTAAATCCAGGTCCCGATGTCTAATTTTTCTAATTTCTCCTGTCCTCTCTTGTAAATTGCCATCCTTTTTGTTTAAAAGATTCACTCGCCCAAACGCTGCACCTTAGGGAACAATGACCGGCTAGGTGCTATTTGCATATAGCGTTTCTGGAATTTTCATCACAAAAATGTCTCGCTGCTAAAATAAAATAGGCAGCTCAGCAAAAGAATTGCCTGTACTGTTCCTATTTATGGTTTAACCCCTCTGGGCTATTTATAAAGCCCCTGTARAAAGGCTGGTACAACTGAACCTACTTCAAGAATTCTTTTAAGGAGTATTCGATTTGGTTGTTAGATCCTACTCAGCTTCCTATAGATTCTCTTGTGCATATAAAGTGAATACTGAAAATGTTCTGATACCATGTATGATTGTGTATGTGTTTGCGTATCAAAGCATTGAAAAGATGCATTGCAAGCAGCAATTTTCATTGRTTTCAAGGGCTGTGGCAGGTATTTGCTGTCACATACCTCTAGCATTGAGTACTACCCAACTCTGSTTGTGCAGTTAATTCCACACAGTGCTCTGTACAGTCTGAGCTTGCAAGCTGTCCGTGTGTCGATTCCTATTAGTGCCTCTTTGCATATGTTTTTMCTGATGGTTTCGTTTCTTTTGCCTCTCTTCTTGCATCTGCTTCAGCCCCTGTCCCTCCTGGGGCATAATGATGACCTTGCTGCCCAGTCTGCAGGCTGGCCTGCTCTGCTCGTGCTGTTCCTGGGTTTTGCAGCTCGCAAATGAACTGCTCCTGGAGCCCACATAGCCCCTGTGCCCACCRCACCAACCACAGCTCCCTCCCCAAATCCCTGTCCTGGATTTACTTTTTATCCTCGGATTTGAAATGTCGTTTCTTTTCCCTTTTCTCCATTAAAAATGTGTCCATGTATTTGTAAGCTTAAAGGCATTATTTATTCTCATTGTGAAGAAAAACAGATTATTATGCTTTGTGCATTACAGGTTGTTGCATTACTTATTTTCTGCTTTCCTAACGATTCCCGATTTTCTATTTTGCTTCCGCTTTGTTGCTTCTTGCTATTTGCTTGCAAAAACAAACAGGCAAGCCTGGTAAGTAAAGCTTTTCACCAACTTTAACATCAGCATTTTGCATTTTTCTTTTCTTTTGCTTTTATTCTCTGTTTGCTGCATTCCCATTAAGTTATATAAGTAATAGCTGAGCCTGAAAGCAGATCTGCTAGCCCTGTGGTGATCTAATTCTGTYGATTTAAGTAAGTGTTATTCCTGAGCATACAATTACTACTTCTGGTCTGCCATGGATAGTATTTCCTGCAGACCTGGAAGCCATTTAATTAAAATCTTATAATTACATAATCTCATAAACTTCAGAAATCTGTATATCTGTCACTGCTTAAATGACATTTGAATGGCAGACATTATCACCACGGTTCTACTGAGCAGCATTTTCAGTAAAGCTAAATCATAGTTTTGGAAAATACCTCCTAGTCCTGCTCTAGCCAGACACCAGTTTGTTTTTATAGTATATAACAACTTTGCTCCTAAATATCTTTCAACTGCTTATCTGAAACTGTCAGAGATGCCCCTTTTCTAACACACACCGGAAACTTTCCCTTGCTTCTCCAGTAAAAATTCTTCTTTTCCTCCGGAATCTGTATAGCACCGGAGCTCAATCCATGGTCCTTGGACATACATATGTATATATGTGTGTATATATATATATATATGCATGTGTAGTGTATATATATATATATATGTATATATACGTAGCAGTGTAAGGAAGGGGGAAAAGGGAGCATCTGACACCACTTGCCTGTAATTCCTTGCTGAAGTGGGGCTGAGGATGAGCTGCACCAAGCACTGATCCAGGTGTCTGAAGAGAGGAAAGAGTATCATGGTGCTCCAAGAAGAATAAACTTTATAGCAGTGAGGGAGCAAGTYGAGAATTAAAACCTTTTCCAAGAAYTACAACCTTTTCAGGTTGCCCCAGAAACAAAGAGGAAGCAGCTGCTAAAATACTACGGGCAATAATCTCTGGAGAAAAGCAAATATGAATTTAGTTGAGTTTTAACCTTTAAATGTATTGCTTGATCATGCAAGTTGATCATACCTCCTTCATGGAGTTTTGCCAGTGAATGGGATCCTGTCAGTTAAGTGCTTTGGAGTTAAGGTCCTGTGTAGTTCTTCATCTCTAGCATGTTAAAATGAGTCTTCTGCTGGAAGGTAAAGTGATGTTTTATCAGATTTGGAAAAATATGTTGTGTTTTCTGCAAACTTTAGAAAGTCTCTCTAATGTAAAATTTCATTTCTGGTGGTTTCCTACAGTACTCTTGCAAAAAAAAAAAAAAAAAAAAAAAAAAACTCCACAAATTTTAACACAATTTTTTGCTGCTTTTTCTTTTTTTTTTTTTCACTGTTTTTCAACTCAATTTGAACTGATTTAAATTTAAATGTCTGTACAGGATTAGACAAGAGGCCCGGAGATTACAATTACATATCAGAAACAGCAAATAAATTATTTCCCATGCTACTAATATGAAGAAATGTCATTTCCTTCAGCTAATGCCTCCTCAGGCAAACAGGGAGAATCCAACATCTGCTTCTTTCATAGAAACAGCTGAGTTCGAAGTGAAATAAATCATCTCTATGAAGATGTTTTCACATTTTTTCCCAACATCAAARTAATCAAATACCACTAAAACTAGTGGCATTTCTCCCAGATAGGACTGTCTTTCTGTAATACTTCTCTGGATCTTCTGCAATCGTACTCGTATACAACATATAGCACAGCGTAGTGGAAGCTATAGATGAAAATGTAGTTGTTCTTACAGCTACCATCCTTCTGAAAATTGCCTCTCTCCCCTTTTTCTCCTAACAGAGGATGAGCAGAGGGAGAAGTCCGTGTCCCATCACACTGTTCAACAGCTGATTGTGGAGAAGGAACAAGCTTTAGCAGATCTGAACTCAGTGGAGAAATCCCTGGCAGATCTTTTCAGGAGATACGAAAAAATGAAAGAAGTGCTGGAGGGGTTTCGGAAGGTGAGTCACGTTAATGTCCCCCTCCTTAAAAAGCCAAGCACGACAGGCTTATGTGGCAGCACAAGGCGTATTTTTAGCCACAAGTCTGATTTATTACACTAGACGTGATGTGGCAGGGAGGGAGGAGAGCATTAGCACGTATTTGTGCTTATTTTGGGAATAGATCTAAAAAGCTTGAGATTTTGTGCAAGAGTAACTTGCTCCTGTGTGGGACACTGCAGTTCCAGTAAATGCCACGTAACTTCAGCAGGTATCAGGGCTGGCTTGCAGACTGAGAGTCTAAGTGCAAAATGTAATGTAATCCTTAGGCAAATTCTATCCAAACGGATATCAAATGCAAAAGGAAGCATTGTGGAGCTTTTTGCATTGTGCAATATTGTTTCACATAGCCTCTGTGTGTACRTGTCTGGGTAAGACTGCCTCCTTTAAAACACTTGAGCGCGACTCCCACAGGTGGGTGCTTGTCACACACTTCAGGCTTCTGGATTAAATTTAATGCAATCTTTCCATTTAAGAATGAAGAAGTGTTAAAGAAATGTGCACAGGAGTATTTATCACGAGTAAAGAAAGAAGAACAGAGGTACCAAGCTCTCAAAATTCACGCTGAAGAAAAACTGGACAGGTAATTGCCTTGCACCCCAGTGCCTTGCTGAAGCCCCTGTGCTGTATTAAAGCCCTTAGGCCAGCCAGTAGAACAGACTGCAAGTGCTTTATGGCTGTTTCCTTGCAGAATTAATCCACCACTTTTAATACCAGCTATCTAAGCTAGATCAGCCAACTGCATGCTCAGGTAGTGAGGAATAGCTGCACAAAAGAAGTGCCAGCTCTGCCTGGATTGTCATTTCTTAAGCCACCCTAAGGAGTGAACATCTGATAGTGGCTTAAGATAGGCAGTTCTGGTTGCCCYTCTTTATTAATGCTTCCGTGTAGTGCCCTAGCAAGCACGCTGGGATTAACATTTAGGACTCGTGTTACTGTCCCCTTGGCCTAGGAGACATCTCCATAACGTCACTGAGATGGGTCAGGGTCTAAAATGAAGCACCGCTTGGGTTCAAGCCCCAGCTGTGGGTCTAGTCTGTAAAACTTGGAAGACAAGTTTAGAAACTCCAATAACAAGGAKTATTTAGCTAGAATTACAACTCCAGCACAAATGTCTCAGAAGCAGGGGGCAATGGTGCAGACCTTGAGATTTTGCAGCATCCACCGTGAAAAGGCTAGAGAAGGCTCTCCTGTAGAGAACCTGACAGGAGATAAATCTGTTTTTTTGCGGGGTTGGTTTTGTTTTTCTAGAGCCAACGCCGAAATTGCACAGGTGAGAGGCAAGGCTCAGCAGGAGCAGGCTGCCTACCAGGCCAGCCTTCGCAAGGAGCAGCTCAAGGTGGATGCATTGGAAAGGACACTGGAACAAAAGGTAAAGGACGTCCCTCCGTTCCCTGGGAGGGCACAGGCAGGGAGCTGGGAGCTACCACTGCTCCTGTTATGTTTCACATTAGAGGATGTAGTTTGGCTGCTGGCACAGCCAGCAATTTACAGCAGTTTAGCCCTCATTGAAGTCCCTTTTTTCTCACAATTCCACAATCCATCTGGTTTCTAATGCTCCCAAAGATCAGCACATGGCACATTTGAATTCCTGTACMCCTGGATACCAAATGGGTACCCAGCATTCATTTCCTTCAGTTTTTAGCTTTAAGTTCATTCCTATTCAAGGAATTCCGATTCCTTTCTTTCAGCTTTCACTTTTAGCTGTAATTCCAGTGTTAGTTTAAATGCAACCGCTTTCATTATAGACAAAATGATCAACCCTGGGTCTATACAACTTAGGACCACAGTGGTTGTAGAAAATTCCCACATATATTTCGTCCTGTAGCTTAGCAAAGCAACTGCACCACTATGGTGCAGCTGGTTCTCCCTTTGAGCCCTTAGGAAACAGAATGAAAATAATGCTGTAAAAGAGCAGTGCAGAASCGTATTTACACTATGTAGAAGTATAATGTGCTAAGAACTGCTATGCAGCAGTAGGAGGGACTGTCTGTGGCACTCAGCATATTTTTTGAATACCTTATGCAAAATACAGCTATGTATGCAGATATATATATATAGATAGATTTGAGATTTTTTTGTCACTTCTAACTTCCTTTTGTTCTCAATATTGGTAAAAACTATTCTCCCACATTTCTCTCAAAGGCTGGATTTGCTTTTAAAACACTCATCTTAATGTAAAAATATTTTGCCATAATGTTTAATATTTCCTTTCRTTTTCCAGAACAAAGAGATTGAAGAATTAACAAAGATTTGTGATGAACTGATTGCCAAAATGGGGAAAAGCTAACTTTTAACCAAATTTCTGGACTTCGATATTGAGTGCAATATGACCATTGGCACACTGATGTCCATACATTTATGTGGACAGGTTATATTTTCACTTTTTCGTATGCACTACTGTATTTTCTTTCTAAATAAAGTTGATTTAATTGTATGCAGTACTAAGATGACTATCAAAATTTCTTGCTATTGTTTGCATTTTCAYAGTATAATTCATAGCAAGTTGATCTCAAAATTCCTGTATCAGGGAGATTGTCAAGTTCTCTAATAAATTACRAATTGCTGATCCTAGCCTTCCCTTTGTACATGAGTTCCCATGTTGGATGTCTTTTGGATTTAATATAAACATGTATTACTTGCATGGGGACTCTTGCCTTAAGGAGTGTAAACTTTATCTGCATTTGCCGATTTGTAAAATAAAACTAAAAATGAAAAAAGTAAAATGCATGTCATTTAAATGAAATTCTCTATTGTAAATAAAATTTTTCGTTGAAACTTGGAGATGAGTATGACTTTATTTTGCTCACTTCACTTGACTACTTGTGTGCGACACCACATATAGCACCTCTGATTAAGGAGCTCCTTCACTTTATTTCCCTGAGTAGTGTCTCTGCATGTTGATGATACTGGGGCAGTCTGCCAGGAATTGCTGATAAGAATGTATGTATAAGAACTTATATGCATTTACATGTATAAGTATGTATGTATATGTGTGCTAGATTTGAACCATTCAGCTGTCAAGCGTAGGCTTAATCCTACAAAATGTTTAATACTCTGACCCTGATCCAGCAAATCGCTTGGGCAAATGCCACGAACCTCTGCGCGAGCTGCAAAATGACATTAGATGATGGGGTGGTGGGTTTTTTAAGCCTATTCACCACTGATATGTCCACACATTTTCCTCTCCTGCTACAGGAAGAATTTACCTGCAGAGTTTGTGGGGATGAGGTGCATGTGGTTAGAAGTCCAAACAGAATAAGCTAGATAAGTAGCATTTTCGCACACCTCTTTATCCTATAAGTCATCCTCTGCAGAGGATTAGGTTTGCAAGATAAGAGTTAAGGCTTTAATAGCAAACAAACTGCTTTCATTGCCTAATGGTGCATCTCTTGTATCTCCATGATGAGGACGGTCTTCAGCCTCGTTCTTGTCAGCTGCCTTTTTGTAATCAAAAGTAAGTCAACTCTCTTTTCTTTCCATTATTTCTTCTTTTTTATTTTTTTTTTCCTCCATGGTTTCCTACTTTATGCGTGGGCTGCAGCTCTTTGCTGCGTTTGGGCTTTTCTCCTGTGTTTGTTTTCAGTTTATGTACGGGGTTAGCAGTGCAGAATTTTACGTCCACTCTATAATGTAAAATATAAATATTTATTCTAGCAATTCTAACTGCATCTCTAAGGAAAATGGTTGTGTCTTTTACTTTGCAACTTCTAAGTACGATACTTTAAATCTGTTTCAAAATCATACTTACTATTAAAATAGCTTGTAATTTGAACTGAGTGTGAACTCTGGTGGGGGAAAGAAAAGGATCAGATTTGAATGAAATGTTTATAGAAAAGCAAAACTCTTAAGATATGCTGTAATTGCCTTATGACTGACTTGAGACTTCAAGAGAAAAGTAAACACAAATAACAGTAAGATTTTAAGCATTTGCASTCTACTTGTTATTGGTATTTTGCACCAAAGACAATACTGAGGGGAAAATATGATAATAGTCCCATTTCTTCTAATGGGCACTGCTCTGAAAACGTTAAAAGAGCTGTGGATGCCAATACAGAATACCGATGCTTGTAGATTATTTTAAATGCAATTATGTTTTGCAGATTTTGCATGTTCTTCAACAAAATTAGGTGCACAGCTGTTATTTTTAAGTATTTTTTAAAGCTTTACCATGGTAAAATGTCTTCTTTCTTGGTGGCAGGTGAAGCACTGCAGTGTTACACTTGTGTAGGCTCTAGTGATGAAGACTGTAACAGACAAGGAACCCAGCAGTGCCCAGGGCACTCGGATGCATGTGCAGTGATAAGAGGACAAGCAAGTGAGTAGCCACAAACACTTCGGACTCATTAAATCATAGAAATAAATAACCAATATTGGAATATGGGGGTGGTCAGAGAACAAGGGAGAAAAAAAAAAACAACAAATGCTTCTGTCAAAACAAATCCTTGCAATAAAACTCAATTCCTAATTTAAATGGGTTAGCAACAATCTGAGCTAGATTTTTTTAAATGACCATGATGAGGAGCCACATCGAGGCTACATGCAAGCTATAAAAGAGAATCTTACATATTGGCCACTTCTTACGTAAATTAATCATTTTTAAATTAAATAACTTACCTTGAAATTAAGAAAGAGGAGAACCTAATGAGATATCGTGCTAGAGTAGGTTCCAAAATATTTAAGGTACTTCAGTTGTATCAAAGATGATTTGCAACTATTGAAATTTAATTTGGAGCCTGGAAACGGGTTATAACCTGCTGTGATTGTATCCATTGGCTTGCAAGAATTGCCAAACTGTTCTGGACTACTGGGAAGTCAGATTCATGTTATAAGGAGGCAGATAAAAGTGAAGTTGAGCATCCTGCTATGTTTGGGTTGCATGTGACTCTGTTTCAGGTGGCATTATGAAGTCCTGTTCGTTCAGGTCGTTTTGTGAGCGGGCMAAGAGAGATGGATCCAGAGCTCCTGGAGTGAGTGTCCACTGCTGCTACTCAAACAACTGCAATGCGAGAAGCCTGGGCTCCAGAATCACCCCTTCCACAAGCTACTTACTGCTTCTCATCTTTACACTGCTTTGGCACCCCTTGTTTAAGTTGACATGAAAAAAAATAGTACCATAAAGCAACAAGTCTGCCTTTATAAAAAGATTTAATGTATTTTCTAACCATTTCACACTGTGCACCATATTTTTTCTTTAGAAAAAAAAAAAAAGCAGTAGGCAGACTGGACAGATGTTACGATAAAAATGGTTGCATCTGCTAAAGAGATATGTCTTGACCTATATTTAAGCATATATGCTCTACCTATTTGTCCTAAGGGGTTTATTGTAACATTTATGTTTATGTAACATTTTTCTATGGCTTGCATAATGTATATAAAGAAAAGGAGAATTTTTTAGCTGTAAGTAGCAGCCTTGTAGTATGGTAAAGGGCCATTATCTTTCAAATTCTGCTTAGTGCTGGCTTATGTTTAAAAGAAAGCTAAAATTTTCAGATCCAAAGTGATTGAAAGCTCTAGCAAGCCACGATACAGTTAATCTTTCAAAAAGCAACTGCAAACGGGACAAAGAAAATTTGCAATAAGTTCAGTTTATAGTTATTAACATAAATTACTAAAGAAATGGTCAGTTAAAAGAACAATACATGAAAATGTTATGTTTTATTTCCTGAAATTTCTTTATTGACKGGAAGGAAAAAAAGGAAGCTTGGAAGATGTTTTGAGTTAGTAAACTTGCTTTCAGAATACAACAWCTTCTATCTCTACAGCTAGTTTTGAGAAGATGAGTTACCCGGATGTCGTGATCAAATTATATCTTGAAAAATAACATTTTTAATCCAAATTCCTCTTGCAGTTTCAACTATGTAGATCATTCTTCACTGTCTAAACCTATTTTTGGGGGAGTAAGCACATATAGTCTCACTCCTCTCACAGTGGTGTCAGTAAGTGGAGGAGCTGATCTGTGATGATTTATATATCTGTTAAGYTTTGCAAAATAATGACATTGCTTGAGGATCTTTCATGATGTAAAGAACTATATGAACATAAACAGCAATCACATTCTTTGCAGTCTTATCACTCAAGAATGGGCCAGGTTACAGAAGACGCTGCACATCACTAGCTAGTGGGCAATACTTTGGCATGGTTTCGTTCAGCTAGGCAAGACATAACACAGTGTGACAGCAGTAAACAGGTTATTGGGTCTGTGATGCTGCAAAGCATGGCTAGAAAGGTAGAGGTAGATGTTACTTCTGTTGAGGTACAGCTCTGCCAATATTCAGGTTTTTAACATCCAGCAGTGGTGATCTGGTCTAGTCTTCAGTACACGCAACACACAGAACTGGCATAAAGTCCCAGAGGTTCAAGTGAAGTAGAGCTGGTCACACAGTGCAAAGTTTTAATTTCAGTTTCTCGCTCGGGAAAAGTCTTCAAGTTCATGGAACTCACAAAATATATAGCAAATTAGTTTTTCAGTAGCTTTCCATTGTGGCTTTTTCATTCTTCCTTTGAAAAGTCCAGAGTCCAGGCAGTGTGTCTTAGGATTCTGCAGACATTTACAAAAATTTTCAAGAAATTTGCCACCTCTAGGAGCTGCTTTAAGTGAAATCACCGAAACTTGCAAGCCTAGTATATCCCTTACCTGCCTTTTAGTTATTGCCTGTCACACTGGCCAGACAGTCCCACTGCTTTCTTGTGCTGTTTCCTCAGTCTGCATCCTTTCATCATCATTTGTAGTTTGTGAATGCCTCAGACTGGGCCTGTCCTTTTGGATTTTGTTTGCATGGGCTCACGAACAGTGGGGTTCTGGTTTGTGGCTACTTGCTAGACACATCCGTAAAGCTGCTAAGTGAGACTGACAATGCAGAGAGAKCTTCGCTGAGAGTATAAATTTAGATTTAGTTATCTCATCTATGTTAAAAAAAAGATCATCTGATAAATATTTTTCATTTTCAGTGTAAATCAGTTCCTCCGAGCTACACTAAACATGTATTGATTGAATCTTTTTTCTTATCCTATTGTAATGACAAATCCATATCGKATGTAATGTCTGTATATGCTCTGTGCATTTTCTTAATGAGAAGTTAAAATACATGCAATATCTGACAATGTCCCTTGATAAACAAAATTGCATCTTTTATTTGGGATTTCCGGGTGTCTGTGGCAGCCTGATTTCCAGCAGAAGTTCAAGCTTTCTCCATAGGCTGTATTAACTTGCTAAATAAAGCARAGCATAATGATAGTTTTCTTACTGTGAAATTTCTATGATAAAATAAGGTAAGGCTATATCCCCTTGATAAGCACCACCTGTCATTCCYGACTCTAGCCAATATTCGATCCTTTAGATAGCTCAAAAACCCACCCCTTTCATTTGATTCTGCTATTCAGCTCTTACTAAGCTATATTTTTCTTCTGATTGTTCTGGCACTTGCCATTCCTCATCATGAACCTGAAATGTGCATGCGTGTATATATCTAGAAATGATGAATTTATGGACTGATAAGATATATTTCACAACGATTCTTGGCATAGACATCAACAGGGAGAYGAGCGCAGGAATGAGCGGAACAAAACAGAATATTAAGAAAGCCATTTGAAAAAATTCTTTTTTGACAATATTTTAAATTGCTAATAACATGGCTGTGCAAAGCTATTCCTTGTTATATGTTACTGTCTTTTGTTTCCTTATTTTGCGGTCTGAAAACCCAGGTAATTATTTCTGGCCCAGTGCTAGAGTTTTTAATCTTCCTTATCCTGACAGACCACTGAGATAAAGCGAGCAGGGGCTGGGCCTGGRTTGGATTCTGCTGCTACTGAAATTCCGAGAACACATTTCCAGCCTCTTGTGTCACTTGGATCGCTTSGATAAGTGCTGGGTTCTCAGAGGGAAATCAGTAACTGTGGAGACTTGTTAGCTGTAAAAGCTGAGAGAATTATTACCTAGATGCTGGCTGTACCGTTTAATTAAAGAAATACAAAGTACATATTTGTGTCACAGACCCCTTTCTTCCTAATTTTTTGGCTCAGTTCAGTAGAGGTTAAAACAAAAACCAGCCTTGTAACTTATGAGCAGCAAAACCTTGGTGTCAAGCGTTTTGTTGTGAAGACATTTGCAAAATTTTGTGAAGTTTCTGGATCTTACAGATGTTCAGCACATAGCAAGGAGCTGTGATCTGTGGAGTTCAGAATTATCACATTGCATACACGTAGGCTTCCCCTTATTGTATTAGAACATTAGTTTATGAGGCATTTGGCAACTTTATGGAATGCTTAGAATATTTATTCCTAACAGACTGGAAAAAAAAAAATGTGTGTTAGGAGGTATGGTTCTCGGTAGAAAAACTTTGTCAATTTTTTTTGGCTTTGTCCATTTTTTTTTGGCTACAGGATGTCTTCCATCTTCCTTCTGAAGAGCTACGATGACACGGTAAGTGTCACAAGAACTCGGCACTAAGTCTTCTACATCAAGCTGGTTTGTGTTACCTCAGGGACACRCTTCTAAGCTTGATGGGAGATGGATTTTTCTGGAGTAACATTAAAGCTGAGAAATGAGAGCAGAAAGAGGTGCTGAGCATTTTGTAGCCAGCCAATACTCTGCMATTAGAATTATTATTTTAAAATTATTCTTAAAATTGCTTGTCATACCCCATACACATATTGTTTTTTCTAGCAAACACGTATTCCCCCAACTTATACCCCAATTATTTTTTTTTTGAATACCACTAGCTGCTAACTCAGAGGATGTGTAAGTATAATGTTTGAAAGGCAAAGGGGAATTTCTCACTTTAAGAAGTTCTTTTCCTCTAAAAGATTTCCTGCCCTTCCTGTCCCACAGAAATGTTTTCCCTTGTTTATTTTAAATACCGAAGGGTGGTTTTTGAACACCAACAGTGTCTTGGCTGTGAAATTAAAGCTAGTTTTCAAATGCAGTCAGTAATTCCTGCTACTTTAATTAGAGACATTTGTAATCTCATTTTAAGGATGCTGGTTTCAGTTTCTGATTTCAATGGCAAAAAGGTCACAAATATCTATAAAATTGTCCTTGTAGTTCAGCCCCACTGCTTGGATCTTTTCAACTGGTTCACAGGCTAATTTTCACCAAAATAACTATGAATTTCTAATATGTGATTTTATCCCTATGCTCTTCCTACCTTCACAGAGCTTTTGCAATGTGTTCCTGATATTTTGCATGTAGTGTCTCCCTGGGCAACTTATTCTCATCTCTTTTGGCAGCTTTTGGAGGCCTTTGATCTGCATTAATGGAAAATATCTGTGATATCCATGAATCTGAACTTCTCATGAACATGTTTTTGTGGACCAAACTATTAATAGCAGAATAATTTCTACCCTATTGCGAGTGCCAGGTTTGAAGAACGAGGTATTAGGATGCACCGTGCTGTGATACACAGAAATAAGCCTGAAAACAGGCTAGTTTCACATGAAGAAATGAGCACTTTGGCAATGTGGAGTGGCCACGGTGCCTCTCTCAGGCCCATCTCTGCAATTCATCCTCTCCAGCTGTGAAAGCTGCTGCTTGCAAGCGGGCAGGATACATTCCAGGTTGTGTTAAATACTCCATTTCAATGCATGTGACACCAGAAAGYGAAATTTGGTTGCCAGGATGAAGAGGGAGGTTTGTCAGGGTGCTTTTCATTCTGCATCATCTGCGCAGGAGATAAAGAAAGGACAGACTGTGCCCGGTTCTGCTCCCYCGCCCGGCAGGGAGGAGCTCTCACCAGAGCATCCCGGGCTCTCTGACTCATTCCTGCTCCTAGCAACTGCTAGTTTTAAATAGACTTCGGCCCAACATAGCTCTTCAGTCTAAGACACAGCTGCAGTGTCAGCCCCGGGCCATGGGRTGGACGTGGGCATGACAAAATCCGGTGCTCCTTTAGGGTACGTTGCTCCAGAAACCACAGCAGTTTCTCAATCAAGCTGCTCTCAGCAGTCGCTGGCAATTTCCTTATGGCTTCAGCTGTGATATTTTGGGAAGTGTGCAAGCCGGAGAGGCTTTCTAGYGAGACTGCTAGAGGATAATGGCAGGTAGGAAAGAAAAGAGAGCTTTATTTTCATGTTTCTTGTCAGTGTTGCAGAGAAAGTGCTTTAA